GGTAGAGCGCGGTGCGCCCCCCCTTGTGCACTCTTTCTTGCAGCGTAGTGGTGTCACGGTATGTGCGGAGGTAAGGCGGGCTGGTGCAGCCGAAGTTGACGCTCTTGGGAAGAGGTTTTCCCTTCCCCCCCCCTCCTCCGCAAGGCGCGAGACACACTCTCTCGCAGCGGCGCCGCGCGGCGGCCCCGGCGCGCGATGGACCACTAGCACTAACGAGTACGAGCTACGACGCACTGTGGAATCATCCTCACCACCCTGCCCTCACGCCACCCAACCCGTCCGGCTGCTGCCATACTGGGACGTGAGTGCAATATTTGTGCTGCCCTCGCCATCCGACGCGTGTGTCTAGGGTACCCAGGCTCCCGGCCGTTGTGCGGGGAGCGAACCTTAACGACCGCCCAGAAGCTTTCTGAGCGAACCAATCGGGCCAGGATCATCAGCATATGTCCCCTCCACAACATCGTGGGCGTTTGAGCGGTATTTGAGGAGCACCGCGACTCTGAAGTTCGGCCGGGTGGTCTGCAGACCCCCCCCCCGGAGCAGCAGAGGCTCCGTGGGGTTGAAAAGTCGACGCTGGGAGTCGCACTCGTCAAGCCATCGCAGGACCACGTGGTCCGCACGTACCGCCCACATCCCCTCCACCACTGAGAAGGCGCAGATCGACCGCCGGGCCGCGTAGCCGTCGTTAAGGAGCGGTTTTTGGAGCCGTACGAAGAGGTCCCAGACGGGCGAAGATGCGCTTTTTCGACGACCACACGCGATGTGGTATCTGGTTTTTGCTAAAAACGGGCCGCCTAGTGCAGCATCACTGGTACAACACGCAACCACACTGATAGCTCCACACTAGCCGGTATAGGCGAGCACCGGCGGCCTATGAGAATGGCCAGGAGGTGACTGCGAGGCGGCGGAGGGCGGGTGAGGTTTTCCGCCGCACCGTGCGTCGTTCCAGCCGCGACACGCTTGTTGGCGCGAAGCGAGACATCGAGACGGTGCATCGGGCCCGAAAGGCGGTCGTACACGTAGTTGCCCCGCACGGTGGACTGCCACTCCGGGGTCGTGAAGGTGGCGCTGGCGTGCTTCGTCTGGACGATGAGGGTGCCGCAGGAGTAGGACCGGCCTGGGCCCAAGAAGAAGGTCCGCTCGCCGCAGAGGCCGGTGATCATGTTGGGCCCGGTGTTGTACTCGCTATGGGACATTAAGAAAACGGATCCGGGTGGGGGTCGGCAACGTTGGAGCCTCGGTGTTATATAAAATGAACTCGGGGGCACGGGACGCGGCGCAAACGGGGCACAAACGCCAGGCTACAAAGACGGGGAGGCACGTAGTGACGCAGGGGAGTCTAGGCGACGGCGGCGTCCTCCGACGCCGCGGCGAGCCTGAGCTCGGTCGCAATCTCTTCCGCCGCCGCGAGCTGCAGCGCGACTGACATGCGCTGGGCCTGCAGCGACAGCCACGACCGCGTCGACCAGCTCGCCTCGTCCTCGTGCTGCCGCTTCGAGAGCTTGTTGCGCACCTTGTCCCTAGACTCAGTGTGAGCGAGACGTGGAAGAGTGCCACCGTCGGGTAGGACGGGTCGGCCCGGAGCATCGGAGTAGCCGTCGTGGTCGCGGCGAGCAGCGCCGGCCACTCCGGCGCCGCGTCGGCAACATGGGAGCATGTCCACCGCCACTTCGCGGCCGCAGCGCTGTTTTGTCGCCAAACGCCGCCATGTACCTTTTCGGGCAAACCATCGAGCTGCATATCGATCTCGACTTGACGGGAAATCCCACCGTGGTGCATTTTGGGGCGCTGTGGGCCCCCTAGCCCCGGCGGTTTTTCTTGGAGCACTTGGAGTGCGCGGTCAGTACGGCTTTATAACCTCACGCCCAGGACGGTTTTTCATTGATGTGGTGTAAAAAATAAAAAGCCGTACACGTCAGCCTAGATGTCAGCCAGACTTGCCCCCCCCCCCCCCCCCCGGAAAGCGTGTAATCCATGGTGTGTACGGTCAGTGTTCAGATACGTGCAACACAGTCTTGCCCGTGTTGCGCCCCGCAAGCATGTGCGCGACGGCGGCCGGAGCCTCACTTACCCCACAGAAGCGAGTCCCGTCGACCAGTGCGCGGATCTCCCCCGCCGCGAGGTCTGCGTACAGCCGGTCGCGGAACGCCGGCAGCACGCCTGTGCTGAAGGCGTCGCCCCAGACATTGCCAATCAGCCGCCCACCGTTCGGAAGCTCCACCGTCCTGCCGGGCCGAAAGACGTCGTCCATGATGTCACCGACGCCCTCGACGCCGTGGTGCGGCGTCTCATCGTTGTGCGGGTACTGCGAGATCGAGCCGACGATGAGCACCCTCCCCTCTGGCTTGAGGTTCGCGCAGACGGCGCCGAGTAGCGCGCCGCCGACGCCCTCGTAGGCAACATCGACGCCACCAGGGTATTCGGCGGCCAGCACGTCGGCGAGCGACTCGTGGCGATAGTTGAGTACGCGGTCAACACCGAGTTGCTTTGCCGCGTCCACCTTTGCCGCGCTGCCCACGGTGCCGACGACGCTCGCGCCGGCGGCTTTCGCTAGCTGCACGGCGAAAGAGCCGGTCGCACCTGTTCACGGCCAGAAGTGTGGAGGGACGCCGTTCACACTCACAGCTGCACGGCGAAGGAGGGGCCCGTCGCGCCGCAACACGCCGTGACGACTACCACGTCGCCCGACGTCACCGGCGCCGTGTGGCCGAGCGCGACGGCCGCGGTGAGGCCGGAGACGCGGGCCGCCGTCTGCTCCGCCGCATCGCCGCCCTCGTCCACCGCGTTGCACAGACGTGCCTTGACACGCGTGTACTCGCTGTACCCGCCGCCGATGAAGGCAACGCGGTCACCGGCTGCGTAATCGGCTTCGGCACCGGCGGCAACGACGACCCCCACGCCCTCGGCGCCGAGCTTGATGCCAGTCGCTTCGGCGGCTGCTCGCGTGACGGAGAATGTGTCAGCACCGCCGTTGACGCCGGCCACCATCACCCGAATCAGCACTTCGTCGGCGGCGAGGTCCTCGAGGTCGTCCGCTGTCGATGCGGTGGCGACGCGAGCCGCGGCGGCAAACGACGGCGCGGGCGCGCCGAGCAGCCGCTCGAAGCTGCTCGGCAAGAAGACGGTGGAGCGGTCTCGGACGAAGTCGCGGAGGCTACGCGCCGGTCTGCCTGTAATCTGGCGCACCGCGTCCGTGACATCCGCGCAATGTGAGCCGAGGACACCGAGGAAGCCAGAGAGGCTCGCTAGTGCGGCGGGCGGCAGGCCCCTCTGCGCCACAAATGCATCCGCGTCGCACGCGGTGATGGACACGGGCCTTGGGCGAAGCTCCGAGATGCAATCTGCGAGCTCGCCACCAAGCGCAATTGCATCCGGGCCAGTCAGGTCGAACCACTCACCCCCAGTGCCCCGCCCGGTCTGCGCGCCGTCCAGCAGCACGGCGGCGCAGTCGGCGACGTCGCGCACATCGATCATTGAGATCGGAGAAAGGGCGAACGGGTGCGAGCACTCGTCAGCCTCACGCAGAGGGCCGGCCACGCCTGTTCACGGCCAGAGGTGTGAGCAGACGCCGTCCACGCTCACAGCGTAAATGCGGAGGGCAGGCCGAGGAAGCCGCCCATCGTCACCTCGTCCATGAACAGGTTCGGGCGCAGCACCGCGTGCGGCAGGCCCAGCTCTGCAAGCAGCGCCTCCACCTTAGAGGACACGGTTTAGAGGACACGCATCAGAACAGCCCCTCTGTGATGCCAGCCTGCCCGCAGCCGTTCTTACCTCCAGGTGGGCGACGTATGGGCCGCCCTGCTTCATCTCGAGGACCTGCCGCGCTGTCGACAGCTTGACGGCGTACGCGCAGCCAGCGCTGTGGGCCGCGCGGCACAGGCCGCCCTCGAGCGCAGCCTGCTGGGGCGAGTTGCTGCACGCGACAAAGAGCCGAAAGCCCGAAGGGACGGACCCAAAAGCTTCCGCGAGCGCCTCCGCGTCGTCGTATGCGGCACAGAGGCACTGCACGCCTTCATGCATCGCTTGTGCCTTTTCGGCGTCCCGGGCCAGCACATAAACGCCCTCGGCACTGCCACGGCGAGACACGAGGGAGCGCACGACGGCGGAACCGACGCGACCCGTGGCGCCACTGACGACCACAGGTGGGCGCGTGGCAGCGGCGACGGTGGCGAGGCACGCGGCGATGCGTAGGCGCATGTGCTTTTCGAAGGGGTGCTCGCAGCTGTCGTGGCGCGACGGGCTGGAAGCCAGCTTCTCGGCACTGCTTCAATAGAGAGAGAGAGAGAGAGCTCTCTCTCTCTCGAGGTTCTCCTGACAGTGACATGGGCACGACACGTGTGTGGACTGGCGCACACGAAATCACCCTCCAGCCCTTATTTTCTCGACAAGATCCCCTCCTCCACCAGCGCCTGCAGCACGGCGGGCGCGTGCCGCCTGATGTAAGTCTCAAGCTTGCCGCCGAGCGCGCTCGTGAGCGGCTTCGCGCCGACGAGGTCGGCGACGCGCGCAATCTCCGCCTCCGCCGCCTCCACGCCCGACGCGTCGGCGCAGAGCACCTCAATCTCCATCACAGCGTGGCCAAACGAGGCCGTGTCGGCGTCGATCGAGCAGCCGCCGAGCGCAAACTTGGAGCGGGTGGTGGCGAAGTCGGCGAAGGGCGCGAGGGCCGCGTCGCGCAGCGTGTCGTCGATGCCGCACAAATCCTCGCACGTGCTCGAGACTGGCAGCAGGTCGCGCAAGGCCTAGGAAGAGGCAAGCAATGAGGTGGAGTACAGCCAGGCTCGGACTGGACACATGCGCGGTCGGGGTGGACGCTGGGCGGGAAATCTGACGGCACGCTCTCCTTCTCTGGCGCGACATATTCAGGTCTCGGCTAGAGCTCGGCTAGTCTCGGCTCCATCCTCCGCCTCGTTAACGGCCGCGGCGCCCTCCACCTCTCGGAAGACGGTGCGCTCGCCGCCCGAGCGCTTGGCGTCAGCCTGCGGCGGCGGCGGCGGCGAGGGCGTCGGCCAGGGACGCGGCGAGGGCGGGGCGACGGCGGAAAGAGAGGTGGCTGCAGCAGCGAGGAGAGAGGCAGCGGCAGTGGAGGCGGCAGCGGTGAGGGCGGCAGCGGCTTTGCCTCGACTGGCAGCTTGAGCTCCCACTCGTCGTCGCGCCGGCGCAGCCAGATGTCGCGCCGCGTGAGCGCGCAGTCGGGCGTGTCAAAGTACACGTCGGTGAAGGACGCCTCGCTCACCCGCTTCCCGCCGAGCTCCTCAACTCGCCGCGCGAGCTGCACGAGGTCGGGCGGCGCAAACTTTCTCTCAACTTCGATCATCGACGTGCCGCCCATGGAGGCGATCCCGCGTCGGGAGAGACTGGCAGCTACGAGGAGGTGGCGAGCGAACCGAGCGCGCATCCGTCAAGCAGCATACATGTAAACTCGCGGCCGGTTTTCTTTTCGTACGAGCCTGTCGTCTGCAGTGAGAGGGATAAGTTGAATTCTTTTTCACCGGCTTCTCGTGTTGCTTGCCGCCGCCTACCCAACGCGGCCAAAGGATATCCACCTCGAGAACCTCGAGAGAGCTAATAGCAGCCCAGTTGTCTCGCGCCTTGCGTTCTGGCAGCCTTCTCCCTGGCTGCCTCCCCGCTCTTATGTCGTCGAGTGACACAACCGCCGCTCTCGACACCGCCATCCCATTGCTCGCCTGGTACGCCTTCAACGGCGCCTTCAACGTGGAGAACAAGCGGGTCCTCAACGAGCTCAGCTACCCGTGGATCATCTCCTGGGTTCAGCTCGCGGCCGGCATCGGCATCGCGGTGCCCGCGTGGCTGCTCGGTCTGCGGCGGCCGCCCGTGATGACCGCGGCGGTGCTGCTGCGCTTCCTGCCGATCGCGGTGCTGCACGCCGCCGGGCACGCGCTGCAGGTGGCCGGCATCGGCGCGGGCTCCGTCTACTTTGGCACGATCATCAAGGCGACCGAGCCGCTGATCGGCACGCTAATCGCCTACGCCGTGGACGGCAAGGCGGCGCCGTGGTACGTCAACCTGACGTTCGTGCCCATCGTGGGCGGCATTGCGTATGCGGCGGCAAAGCCGGGCGCGGCCGCTGACTTGTCCGACCTCGCCTCCTTCGCAGCCGTCGCGGCTCTCTCTTCGACGGTCTTCTTTGCGCTGGCGAAGCTGCTCGTCAAGCGCCTCATGACGGCCGACATGAAGAGGCGCCATGGCCTCGACGCAGCCAACACGTACTCCGTGCTCACGTGTTGCTCCGCCGCGCTGCTGCTCGCGCCGTCGTACGCCGCAGAGGGAATCCACCGCCTAGATGCGGGGGAAAATCTCTCCCCAGATCTCCCCACCCAGATCTCCCCAGACCTCGAGGCACCAGATGCGAATGTCTCCCCGGATCTCCCCAGCTCTCGAGGCGCCAGATGCCGGAAGAGCTCCCCGGGTCTGCCCACCCGTCTCCGAGGGTGGCCGTCTTGATTGATTAGCCGAGATTAGCCAAGATTAGCCGAGATTGGCGACCGTCTTGATTGGCGTACTTGCAGGACCCGCGGTGCTCGCCGCGCTCGCCGCCGCGGGGGAGGGCGGCAGCATGGTGGGGCGCAGGCGACTGCTGTGTGCGGGCTGCGGCATCTCTCTCGCTATCTCTCCACCTCTCCCCGTCTCCCCGCACCAGGCTACTGCTGTGCGGGCTGTACTACTTTGCGTACAACGAGTGCGGCGCCCGCCCCAATGGGCTGCGCTCTGAATGTGCACCGCGTCTCTTCACACGTCTAGCCGTGAACAGGTGCGGCTTCCGCGTCCTGGACAAGCTGAGCCCCGTCTCGCAGGCGGTCGCCATCGGGAGGATGACCCCGGCTAGTCACCGACCACACCCACAAAGAACCCTGCACAAAGTTCCTGTTTACCCATCTCACCGTGGGTCTCCGCTTTTATTTGTTGGTGTAGGCGGTAGCCAACGCCGCGAAGCGGCTCGTCATCCTCTTCTTCGCCGTCGTCTTCCTCGGCGAGGAGGCGCGAGAGTCGCCGAGATTCGCGGAGAGTAGTGGAGTTTGTCTCCTCCGCCGTGTCGCCTTCCTCGGCGAGGACGCAAGCAGCACAACACTCACTCTGTCCCTTGCAACAACACTCACCTTGTCCCTTGCGATTTTGATGCCGGGGGCTCCTGCCTTCTAGACGTGGAGTCGCGAGCCCCCCCCCCCCCCCCCCCTGCCCCACCGCCGCGTGCGTGTGTGGAGAGGTTTGTCTTGCCTTACCTCACCTTAGGCGAGCGGCCGCAAGCTCGTCGGCGCGGGTGTGGCGATCGCCGGAGTGACGAGCTACAGCTTCGCGAGGCTACGGGCCGACGCTCACGCAAGGGCAAAGGCCAAGAAGGCCTCCTGATCACGCAGAGGTGCTGCAGCCTTGTGTCGGTAGCAGTAGAAGCTAGCGCATCCCCAGCCTCCAGGCCGGACAGCGCTTGCTTCGGTTCATGTTTATTGTCCATCGCCCATGAGCCATGTCGGTTGTCGCATCTAATCGCGCATCCCGAAGCCCGTTCGTGATGAAGCCTACAGACCTCTCAATGGATCCTGACGCGGAATCGACTCTATCTAGTGCTCAAGTGCGCTCAAGATAGATTAAACCGCACGACTAGTTGCAAACTTGGAGCACTTGGACAAACACGTTTTAGGTAAGGTAAGGTAAGGTAAACTTCTCCACACACACGAGGTGGTGGGGCAAGGGGGGGCAACCCTCGCGTCTCCACGTCTGACGACAGGAGCCCCACGGCATTCAAAGTGCAAGGCCCAGTGCGCGTGGGTGAGCGGTGTGTGTGTGTGTGTGGTGTGTGTGTGTGTGCGTTTTTAAACAACGTCCGGCTATAGCTACATGGGAGGGCTTCGTGAAGGATATGGATAGAAAAACATTCGAACAAAGAAGAGGCGACGGGAGGAACCGGCAGAGGATGCAGTGACGTGACACACACACACACACACACACACACACACACACACACACACACACACACACACACACACACACACACACACACACACACACACACACACCGTTCACCCACGCGCACCGGGCCTTGCACTTTAAATGCCGTGGGGCTCCTGTCGATAGACGTGGAGATGCGAGGGTTGCCCCCCCTTGCCCCACCACCTCGTGTGTGTGGAGAAGTTTACCTTACCTTACCTTACCTTACCTTACGTCCGGCTCCGGGTGGAGTCCAGGTAGAGCGCGGTACTGGGCTGGGTTTTTAGGCATTGTGGGGTGGCACTCCCATCGACCCTCATGACCTCCTCGGGTCTCTGAGATGGACACACCAGTGGGTGTGGGACCACAGCCAGGGTACACTCTCTGGGGTGGCGCGAGGGCCCCCGGCCCACACCGTGCGCCGCGCAGCACTGCGGAAACGGGCTCCGGCTCTCAAAGTCTCTACTAGCACGGACTTCCCGGATGAGTACGGTTGAGTAGAGGGCAGATTTGGAGAGATCTCGAGGAGTACATACAGATAGACCCTCTAACCATAAGAAAACTCTGACCTGATCGGTCGTACTGACCGCCGACAGATCACTCCAGACAGCAGACAGGCCGACGTCTGCACGCGGCCGGCCGGGCGAGAGGCTTGACACGATCCGACCCTGCGACCCTGACGCTGCTGCTCTAGCTTTCAGACATGCGCTGCTGACTGCTGCCACAATGTGCGACCGGTGCTGACCCACTTGGCGGCCTTCCCGGTCAGTGGTGAGGCGCAGTTCAGAGCTGTCGATGGCGCGATGCCGCACTGGTCCCACATTGGTGACACTAGACCACCAAGTTTGCCGGTCCAAGAGAGAGGCACCGGCGCTGTCCTGAGAAGGTGCGTGGTCCCTCTTGACTGCCCATGCGCGCGAGGCTGTGTAGGCATAGCCTCGAGAGTGCCAGCAGCCAATCCGAGGCGGCGCGCATTGCGCCAGAAGCGTGCACACGATGGAAGGACACCTTCCTACGGGCCGTACGATCAGGTCGTCACTGAATGCTTGATACTAAGGCCGCGAGCTATGCAGGTGATCAATTGTGCAGCATGGCACGATCAGCAGCGCCGACAGGCTGTCGCAAGGCGTGATAGCATGGCCGCAAGTACGCCGAATTCCCGTGAAAAACAAGTAGACCGAGTCGCTCATACGAACGCCGGGCGCCGCTGCGGAGACCTTGACGTACGACGGCGTGCACTGGAACATGCCGGTCAGCCTTCTCTACGCGCACGCCATCGTGGAGCAGCTCGTCGGAGGGCCGGCGGCAGGAGGTGACGCGGCTGCGCCCTCGGCGCTTTCGGAAGGCCAGGGACTCGGCCGGAAGGACCATGGCCCACCCGCAGGCAGTTCTGTGGTGCATTCAGCGGCACCCCGCCGGCCGGCGACATGCACAGCCCTTCTCAACGACTGGTGTCGGTCGCACTGTGGTGCCGCGCTGAAAGCGCAACAGGATACCAGGGGGCGTTGGGCGTGTCGGCCTGGTCGGGACAGGGCAGCTCTTCTGCCAGCCGGACATTGCGGCGCGCTTTCGCGCCCCCGCCGGGGAAAGCCGCTCTCCGAGGAGCAGAGGGATCTCAAGCAGGTTCAAGGCAGGTGCCGCTGTGCCGGCGGCGAGTGCGTGCTGCTCGAGGCCACACCGATGCCGGCGCAAATGACCGGCTGCTTGGCGACCAACGGCAGCGCGATGGATCCGACGTACGCAGCGCATGAATGGCCATGGCCTCTGCGGGATTTCGTGATTGGGAGGTGGATGCCCCGACTGTCGACGATGCCGCTTTGGCTGCGGCTGTATGACTGGATCGTGTTCGGCCCCGTGGTGAACTTATCTCATCCGCAGCCGCGCTCAGTGTACGTCCAAGTGTTTCCGGGGCCAGAACAGCTCCAGGCTCTCAAATCGAGGCTCTCTCAGCTGGACAGCTCGCACCGCATCCATGCGTTGGCCGTTGGCGGTGCGGATGCTGCGTTGTCGGATGTCTTGCGGATGCAGGGGTCTGAAATGCGACGGCTGCTGGAAAGCCGCCAAGTCCGACGCGTCTACTACGAAGGCCTCGACACCAGTGTGAGATCTGTCCCCAACTTGCGGCCTCTCCCCGAGGGGCTCGCAGACAATTACATATGTCCCTTCTCGATGCAGATCCGCGATGCATACCGTGCGTCCCCTCTTCTGCGCCGGGCAGAAAAGGTGCTATTGGCTGCATGGGGCGCATGGTGGCCTGGAAACGACCGCTTGCCCTCGCGCGCGCGAGCGCTCAAGTGGGTACGCGCCACAGTGCAGCAGGGTGCCGACTGGCTGGACCACAGACAGATTTCACGACGCGAATGGTGGTGGGAGCTGAGGCAATACCGATTCGTGCTCAACCCAATCGGCGCTTGCGTACAGAACGTGCGAGTCTGGGAGGCGCTTTTGATGGGCGTGATCCCCATTGGTGATTCTTCTTCGCTTGCCGACAGACAGCTGCAGGCCGAAGGCTACCCGATGGTGCTCGTGCGCGACTGGGCAATGATCACAAAGACCCGTCTTGATGCCTGGTACGAGCTGCTGCTGCCGCGAGTTGGGGCCATCCGACCTCTGCTAGATGCAAGGAGCACGCATCACCGTCTAGTACATGGCCTGACGGTGAATGACGTGCTACAAGCACGCGGCGACTGGGAGAACCGAATCGTGCCCCAGATTCTGGTTTGAATCGATGCAGCTGCTGAGTGCTGTGTGGCGCGGCTGCGGGCTGGCGCATGGGCCCCGCGCCGGCCGACGAGCGCCCACCAGCCACGTGCCAATCCACGCCGGGGCTCCACGGCGCTAGAGTAGTGTGAGACCCATGCCGAGACCTGTTGCAAAAGGAATTTTAGGCCCCAACATAAACAACATTATCCTGGACAGCCCTCTCACTCTAACAAGTAACAACATCACGGCCACGCACACCACACGTCTGGTACGCTGAACGGAAGGGTGCAGAGCGCCCATACGCCCCCCCCCCCCCCCCCGCCTCACCATACACGAACAAGCGCACCGCCTCGCGAACTGCTCCACGGCACTCTGCCCCCATTCGGCGTCGAGAGGGCCCCGCCCCACCCCCGAAGGGCCGCAGCCCCGCCTCCACTCGGCGCCTTAGATCTTTCGGGTGTCTTCGAGGCGGAGCTCGAAAAAGAGCCGCTCGAGCTGGGCGAGGAAGGGGGTCGCCTATTTTGAATTCATTAATGAGTGAGTCCACTGTCAATGTGGTGTGAATCAGCCGCGAGAGGAGGGGGTCGCCTCGCGCACAAAGTGGTAGATATCCCCGAGCACCACCGCCTCGCGCTCCACGTCGCCCAGCCCGGGGCCAATCAGCCGCAGCAGCGTCTCGTAGTCGGGCGCGGCGCTGCAAAAGACCGAAAAGGCCTGCCGCAAGCCTCGGGCCGTCTCGGGCAATCTCGGGTCATCTCATGCCATCTCATGCCATCTCGTCGCATCTCGGGTCATCTCGGGTCCTCTCCGGTCCTCTCGGGTCCTCTCGGGTCCTCTCGGGCAATACCGAAACGCCTGCCGCAAGACCCACGAGTGGTAGGGCTCGAGCGCCTGTTCACAGCTGCGGGTGTGAAGAGACGCCGTTCACAGCCGAGAAGACCCACGAGTGGTAGGCCTCGAGCGCCTCGCCGTACGCCTG